ATCGACTAGAGATTAATATATTCTTTAGATATCGTATAGAGATTGATATGTTCTTTGGATATTGTATAGAGATTGATATATTCTTTAGATATCGTATAGAGATTGATGTATTCTTTAGATATCATATAGAGATTGATATATTGTTTAGATATCGTATAGAGATTGATATAATCTTTGGATATCGTACAGAGATTGATATATTCTTTGGATATCGTATAGAGATTAATATATTCTTTAGATATCGTATAGAGATTGATATATTCTTTAGATATCATATAGAGATTGATATATTCTTTAGATATCGTATAGAGATTGATGTATTCTTTAGATATTGTATAGAGATTGATATATTCTTTTGATATCGTATAGAGATTGATATATTCTTTAGATATTGTATAGAGATTGATATATTGTTTAGATATCGTATAGAGATTGATATATTCTTTGGATATCGACTAGAGATTAATATATTCTTTAGATATCGTATAGAGATTGATGTATTCTTTAGATATTGTATAGAGATTGATATATTCTTTAGATATCATATAGAGATTGATATATTCTTTAGATATCGTATAGAGATTGATGTATTCTTTAGATATCATATAGAGATTGATATATTCTTTAGATATCGTACAGAGATTGATATATTCTTTGGATATCGTGTAGGGATTGATATATTCTTTGGATATCGTACAGAGATTGATATATTCTTTGGATATCGTATAGAGATTGATATATTCTTTAGATATCGTACAGAGATTGATATATTCTTTGGATATTTTATAGAGATTGATATATTCTTTAGATATCGTATAGAGATTGATATGTTCTTTGGATATCGTATAGAGATTGATATATTCTTTGGATATCGTATAGAGATTAATATATTCTTTAGATATCGTATAGAGATTGATGTATTCTTTGGATATCGTATAGAGATTGATATATTCTTTAGATATCGTACAGAGATTGATATATTCTATAGATATCGTACAGAGATTGATATATTCTTTGGATATCGTATAGAGATTGATGTATTCTTTAGATATCGTATAGAGATTGATATATTCTTTAGATATCTTATAGAGATTGATATATTCTTTGGATATCGTATAGAGATTGATGTATTCTTTAGATATCGTATAGAGATTGATATATTCTTTAGATATCGTATAGAGATTGATATGTTCTTTGGATATCGTATAGAGATTAATATATTCTTTAGATATCGTATAGAGATTGATATTTTCTTTAGATATCGTACAGAGATTGATATATTCTTTAGATATCGTACAGAGATTGATATATTCTTTGGATATCGTATAGAGATTGATATATTTTTTGGATATCGTATAGAGATTGATATATTCTTTAGATATCGTATAGAGATTGATGTATTCTTTAGATATTGTATAGAGATTGATATATTGTTTAGATATCGTATAGAGATTGATATATTCTTTGGATATCGTATAGAGATTGATATTTTCTTTGGATATCGTACAGAGATTGATATATTCTTTGGATATCGTACAGAGATTGATATATCCTTTGGATATCGTACAGAGATTGATATATTCTTTGGATATTTTATAGAGATTGATATATTCTTTAGATATCGTATAGAGATTGATATATTCTTTAGATATCTTATAGAGATTGATATATTCTTTGGATATCGTATAGAGATTGATGTATTCTTTAGATATTGTATAGAGATTGATATATTCTTTAGATATCGTACAGAGATTGATATATTCTTTGGATATCGTATAGAGATTGATATATTTTTTGGATATCGTATAGAGATTGATATATTTTTTGGATATCGTATAGAGATTGATATATTCTTTGGATATCGTATAGAGATTGATATATTTTTTGGATATCGTATAGAGATTGATACATTTAAAACCTCTATTTCTGCGAGTTTTGGAAAAGAACAGACCGAACTACTAAGTGCCACTGCATGTTATAGCATTAATCGACTAATGTGAAGTCAATTCAAATCTTGCGAATTTCTTTAGTGTCTTCTTCTTATGAGACATTGGATAAACCAAAACTTATCTGCTGCTATCATCGCGCCTCTTGCGACCCCATTTTTTCTTCCTACCTTACTTACTCTTCTAACAGTATCACCGTGCGCACCCGTCTTCATATGACATAGGCTGAAACGAGGAATTTATTTCTGTAATAGGATGTTAAAATGTATCATATCAAAATCTTTCCGAAAATCAATAAAAAAGAACTCCTATGAAATTTCCTGAGTCAATAGCAGAAATCTAGTCATCTATCAACGCTGTTTGCGCTATCTTACAAGAATGTTTTTGTTTAAATCCAGTTTGAAAATCAAATATCAACTTGTGTTTAGATAGACAGTTTCGTATGTGTATCAATACATGCTTTTCTAGATTGTTTTAATAATTGGAGGGATAGCGCGCGGCAACAGATCAATATAAGTTTCTCCAATGAAGGTCTAGTAAGAAATATTCAATACTTTATAATTGCACTATACTCTAGCTTTTTATCACATCTGAAGTCATATACATGACATTGTATAGTATCCATGATATGTTATTGAGTATATGTTCAACCAGGCGTATAAATACATAATGTGTACACACTTTTGGGTTGTGGGACTTGGCCAGTATTTTGTTATTTATATTTTTCCTCATACGCCAACTCGAGAGTAATTATAAACATGTATATTACCAAAGTCAACAATCTGTGCCGTCATCATTTAAGCAATAATTGTTATAGCAAATGTTGTTATGGTCCTATAACACACATTGTTATTGATTGATGACAAATTTAATAAGGCCTGGTAGCTATAGAAGTGTTTTACAGTACCAAAACAATATTTGCTAAAATATTCATTATTTATATTCACATTTTGATAGAGTAGTAATGCTTTATTTAGTTATTTCGTGTAGTTTTTGAACAGCAAATAAAAGTGTTGACAAAAATGAAATCGATGACGTCACAAAAGAGATAATTGATAACGTTACCATAGCAAATGGTGTTATAGTCCTACAACAACATTTGCCTTTTCAGTGCATTGCAATGGAAGGATGGAGAACAAATGTGTGAAGCATGGCAAATCGTTCAAATAATAAAGGCATGCACTTTAAAATAGATATTTTTTTTAATTTTAAAATATTTAAAAACCCATTACGAATTCATAATTATAAAATCAATTTCCCAAGGCTCTCTGGAGCGTCTCTTCGCCTCTATATTGGGATCATGTTTGTGCCGGTAGGTATTGACACCCAGTTATCATGGTCTATAATCACGCTCAATTCTTAATTTAAATCGGAGATAACCTTAAAGTTTTCATATATTACTTCATATTTTGCAAGTACTTTTAGCCAACATTCATTCTCGTGTTCACCCCTTCAGCTTTTCGAGATTTTTATCTTATAAATATAACAACGGTTGCTACTTTTTATCCTTTCGAAACCAGGTAGAACCGAAAATTTAACAGTTGAAATCTATGCTTTTAAATAAATGTAAACTATTTCAGTGCATAAAACTGTTTAACATGATTCCTCCAACAGACCTGTAGTTAATTCTTTATTTGATAACCTACACGATTTTGAATAAATCGATTAACATATGTTTAATATCTTTTCATTTGAGTCATGAACAAAGTAGTGTTTAAGTATTTTGATTGCAAGATTAGCTTGAAATAAAGGTCATGTTATAACTTGTAAGCTACCGAATGTATAGGATAGAATATTAAAAGTTAATGGTGTGTTATTTTTGTGTATACAAGTTTTAAGTCACTGTCTAGTACTCCTACTGCGAAAGACAGTCGTCAATAACTCCATTACTTTGATCGGCAATATCATTTTAGTAATGGAATATATGATATGGAATATGACGTGAAGAGTAAGTAAGCTATATATATAGTAAGCTATACTAGTAAACTATACTAGTAAACTATATTACTGAAATGTTATGTTACAGAACTCATAGAATATGCTAGAACTGTACTGCGACAAAAAAATAAAGCACGAACTAACCCTTTTGGCGACTAATGAAAAATTAAAATAACTGCATCAGCATTAACGTTTGCTTTAGTTTATGTTTAAATATACATGTGTTAATACGGCAAATATCGATGAACACGTTTGACCATTCCTTAATCCATATTCGTGAAAACAATATCATGCTCAAACTCCGATAGTGTGCTCAAAATCAATTAATTGCAATAATTTGGGAGGAATCGTGGAGAGACTTTAAACCCAGTAGTTTGACTGTGTTGCATGAGTAACAAACTTAAGGCAGTCGGTATGAGCAGACTTCGGGAAGATAATGCTTTCGTGAATTATAATACGGTCATATAAAGTAATTCTACATGTATCTCATGTTTGGTAACTATGGTGACATATGTATCGGCGGTCATCAGCATTGTGTTTTACGTTAAGTGTACCCACTAGACTATATATGGCGCATCGAAGTGTAAAATAACGTCCATTCTACTTCCCGAATGTATTGCTATCATTTGTCCAACAAATGGCGTAAAACGTCTTGGCGAATTATGAACGAACGTTATTATATAGAAATTTCGTATGTCAAAATGGAACACTTTTAAATGTTTTGGTAGGAAGCGATCCATTTGGCAAATTAAATAAGGTCAACATGAATAATGTCTATCGAAGTTTTATTGTAGATTATATTCACTATGGTAACCATAGAAGTTATATCAAAATTGTCGATGTTGTCAAATTATGAAAGCGAGCGCATAAGGCACACCATATTATTTCTTATTCTTACAAAGAATCTAATAATTTTATGAGCTTTACTAGTATATCTAATGTCAATCGTAATTAAAAGTCATCGTGATATTTTGTTTTGTAATACCACAGGAAATGCCTATCCAAGGGCGCCTGTTTTTTTCCGAATTCCGGATTATCTGTCCAGTGTTTTGTTTTTATTTTGTTTCAGTACAGTCTTTATCGGAGTCGATCAAACGCTTTAATCAAAAACAAAAATAAACTTAAAGCGTCTTGAAGATACTAAGACGCGGAAGGAAATACTTTTTCGAACAATTTTCGTTACAGCAGGCTATCCTAGATGACTTTCACCAAGGACTATGACATCCACTCATAAACCGAAAACCATCGAGCACGATTCACTTCGTGCAATTTGCCGGGAAACCATACATGGTAATTGAAGAAGGTCGATATGTTCACCATTTAGTTGTCATGTACACGTACCAACGACCCGCGTCTCCTCTTGCCCCGACACCAGACTTGACATTTTGATAAATAGGTCTGGTGTAAGGGCTAGAGGAAACGCGGGCTACAACGATACCAGCATCTCTCCTGACCGCCCAGCCTAACATTAATTGGTCGAAATACACACAAAATTTGGGATGCATGCCATAGTCCATACGATAGCTCATATTTCGTGAGAGGTGTGATTTGATCAGTATTACTTTTATAGCGGAACTGGATTGGGTCGATCGTCGGCGACCAGATAGCTTATTTGGGGAAGAACGTCTGTCTAGAGTTCGGAGGGTCCCGGGTTCGAACCCCGGCGCTGTGGTGCATTTTTCCTCTCCTGTTAAAGTGGTGCCTGTGACCAACAATTGTTTCAACCACTTGGTATAATGCTTGGCAAAGGGATACCCTAACCTTGGTTGTAAGTAGTTGTGTCTTTGAGGGTGAAGACTTAGAAAAAGGAGGGCGGAATGTAGCGGAACTAGACCGGGTCAATGACCAGGTCGCTCAATTGGTAGAGCATCCATCTAGAGTTCGGAGGGTCGGGGGACTCCCAAATTTGAACCCCGGTCTGGACGTGCATTTTCCCTCTTCTGTTATACTTTCATATACATGGCCATATCATTTGGTATGACAATACAAGCTTACGTCAGTCTCTAATAGTTGTGATGTGGCTCTTACACTACAAACAAATGGACATAGATATTCTGTATATACTACTGCAGTACTGAATGAAGATCACAGGGGTTTGTTACAAATGTCTACAATACACATCTGCTGTGCTGTGACCCATATCAGAATAACATATGTGTATTTCAGACTTTTGTAACAAACTCTGTGTGCATGTAGATCGGAAATATTGACTTATTATATTAAATGTAGCTGATAGTATTAGGGACCATGCATGCTCCTGACAGAGTGACATCACCTTGAGTCTTCGCCTGTTGTACTGTATACTGGGTATATATTATGTGTAAATCAAATATGATTTTGGAACTAAAATATTTGGCAGGATTACACAGAGTCCAAATTTGTGTCAGTCATATTATACATTGTATATTAACATTTTAAATGTCATTGTATTATGTAAATATACTTTGGATAAAAACCCAGGAGCATAAAGAAATGACAGGATAAACACACCAACACAGCAATCAGTTATTCATACATTCAACAGGTTTCTTTTGGTATTACCACAGAAACAAATATACTGTGATGCATCTAGTCCCAAAGATTATTTAAAAATCCTTTCTTCAAATTAATTGTCTCTAAAAATCTATCTTCCCCATGGTCTTCAGGTTTATTTTTTGACTTCTGATAATATCAAGGTTGATCTGTTCCTGTTTTGTTTCAGGTTATGTATTTTGGTCCTTGTTCCAAGGTCTTGGACCTATGATATGGTTCTATCCACTCAATGAACTAGACATATCTGGATATGAAACCTTTGCTGCCACATGGTTCTTTCCCATTGTACTCGGTCATCCTTCCATCCTACGCCTGGTACAGAATCGATGGGTCCTTGGTTTCCTGCGACTTCTGGTGGTGGCTAGCCTCAGCTCGTTCCAGGCCGGTACCACCCTGAGCAGACTTGCTATACTTGCCTTAGGAGTAGGAGTCTCCATGTGGGTATTTACTGCCACCCTATGGAATCCAAATCCCAAGATAAGGTAAGAAACTTGACCTTATGACTAGTCTATGTGTTCCCAATGAATTTGGTGGTAAATTTGATACTTTTTCAATGTTCTGATTTTCTAGGTCCTTAGTTACATAGAGAAACCTATGAAATCCTGGGTAACAACCAGCTGTTTACGTTTTGGGGGTAAATAACCCTCATTGGGGGTTTCTGGGGAACATTGTCACACACCATTTTATTTCTCATACTTGTACAAAAGAAGGCCATGAGTGTTTACAGTTACTGAAAGTATTCTAGATATTTTACCTCTGAATGCTGACTTTAAATTTCCAGAGGAATTAATTGAGCACTGACGTTGACAGGACATTTTGATAAGCCCTGAAAAAAGGTACATGTTTCTACAAACATTCATTATATATGTTATCACTATAAAGTTTTAAAGTTGGTTGTAATTCATTCTGTGAATAGGAATGATTTGCATACAAACAATGGAAAGTATAGGTATATGTCTGCATTCAATGACAATCAGATAGGTGTTTTAATGTGTTAATCATGTGGTTACATAACTAAAGTTTTATTTTTAAACAAACAGTATTTTTTTTTTTTATTCTTCTCACTGCACACAAAACAAAATTACTTTGGAAACCACAGCTAAATCAACATGGAATCAAAAACATATATATGATATTTGACGTTTATCATAGTTTTACACATTGGACATTCAGAGACGTTTTGAATTATCTACCCCTGACCTTTTTTTTCAAATTGAAATATAGGAATGGCTTTCTTTTGTATGTTGTTTTGGTTGTTATGAACTTGACCTTAGACATTATGATGATCTTGAAGGTGACTTTGATCTCTCTTTGACCTACTTTTGACATTAATAGTTCACATTTTTTGCTACAGTAATTGTCAATTCTTAACTCAAGTACACTGATTTGACCTCTCAAGAGGTAGAAATATTTTAAGGAATGTATTAAGCGTATAATTGAAGCTGACTTTGCCTTTGTGTCTTCAGCTTAATAACAATTTCAACTAAAAAATTAAGGATATTTTAAAAAGTATTTCAGAAGTGAAATTGCGTTTTAAAGATTCATATTGGAAAAATTACTAAGAAACAAAACATCAAATGTTTATAATATGACTTCACGCAATAAGCTAAAAACTTGGCATAAATTTATTTTCCAGAACCAACACATTCTGGGGTCTAATACTTGGCCTTATGTTGTTTGTGATGTCTCGTATCTGGTTTGTGTCTTTCATTCCTACATGGTGGAATGATACATCAAACTCCATAATCATTGCTATAGCAACAGTTGCTGTTATAGATCAAATTATTTCAGGTATGTACAGTTTTTATCAGGTGTGTAGGCATTTTGTCTGGTAAAAAGATTTCAATAATAAAATCTTTATAAATAGAACATTATATAGTGCCATATTGATTTTTAGCTCACCTGGCACGAAAGTCACAGTGGTCAAATATGTTAAAAACTTTAAACAACTTCTTCTGAATAACCAAAATGCCCAGGGTGATGATATTTGGCCAGCAGCATGCTGGGGTAAAGGGCTATCAAGTTTGTTTAAATGTATGACCTTGAATCAAATTCAAGGTCACAAGGAGCAAATATGTTCAAAATATTTAAACAACTTGTTCTGAATGACCAAAAGGCTCAGGATGTTGATATTTAGTCAGTAGCATGCTGGGATCAAGGACTACTATGTTTGTCAAAGTGAATGACTTTGACTTGTATTCAAGGTCACATGGGTCAAATTTGTTTAAAATCTTTAAACGACCTCTTCTGAATAACCATGGGTCCCAGGATGTTGATACTTTGCAAGTTGCATCCTGAGATGAGAGGCTATAAAATTTGTTCAACATAATGACTTTGTTCGACTTTCAATCACAGGGGTGAAATGTTTTAAAAAAAAATAACAGGGTCTTTTGAATGAATTTTAATCATAAGTACTGATATTTTGCCTGTAGCTTTATTTTAGATCAATTTTAAGGTTACAAGTGTGAGATTTATACCAGGTGAGCGATGCAGGCCCATTGGGCCTCTTGTTATACCTGATTCCAGTATACCCCACCAACTTCATTGCGGGGGTATACTGGAATCAGGTTGTCCGTCTGTGGACTCAATATAGTACTGTGTACTCCTCCTAAACTACTGGATGGATTTCAAAATAATTTGCTGATAAAAATCATTGCAGCTTGGAGATATGCGAAAGTACTTTCATTAGATTATCTCCCTTTTTTATAAAGTTATGTCCCTTGGTTCATAAACCTTCTCTAGACCATGACATTGGATAGAAAACGCAAGAACTTTTTTTTTATATTTTATTCAATTCCTTCCAAATTTGGTATGGTAATACAAGAAGCAATAATGTTAAACATATATAACAGTTTTTTGCCAGGTTTCAACTTTCTGTGTTTTGAACTTTTACCAATATAGTACCAGATACTCCTCCTAAACTACCGGATAGATCTTAATGAAAATTGCTGATAACAGTCCTTACAGCTTATTCATTCTAACCCTTTTAAAAGGAGTTATGTCCCTTTCATTTTAGTTGTGGGATCAAAACGATAGGAATGTCAGTAAAAAATTCACCTTATATGGTTAACATAATTAATATAACAATGAATTTAAGTTTAGCAGTACTAGTTATTTCACCCGTAGAATCTGTTTCGCTATCAACAGGTGCTGACATTGTTGACCACAAGGTGGGTCAGCAGACCTATGTTGACCGTCCACGCTGGCTGACCACAGCCTTGGGATTCGGCAGCCTGCTGTACCTCACTCACTGGTGTTTCGGGGAAGTGTCCTTAATCATACGTTGGACCGTCCATGGCTACCCTTCACACGGACCCCTCCCCAACCCCTGGGGGTAAGGTCTTCTAATTCAAAAACATGTTTATATGAATATGACCAATTTTTCCCAAACACATTAAAAGAAGTTTATACATTTAGCGTTTTTGATTTCATGAATTTAAATTATTGGAAATTTGTTAATTTTAGAACAATCATGAACATATGATTAAGCAAAAAATTAAATATTTTGCAGTGTCCAGATATTTCAGTTTTTAAAAATATTTGTGCATAGTGCTGAAATATTTCGGTTCCTAAGGACTCCGTATGATTAATATGGTGGTGTACACTGTATGACATTGTCCCCCCACTGTGTGATGTTGTAGAGCACTGGTCCTACTTTGTCTTGCCGTGGGTGTGTACCTATCGCCACGACGACAACTGGCCCAGAGTAAAGTCTGGTGGCTGGTGGCACTCGCCAGTTTTGCTGCACTCTACTATCTCCCGACTTGGCAGGGATATATTGGTAAGTAATGGTATCATCCTTTTAACTACACTCTGAATATCTTGAATTTTCAGTGTTTAGTGACCGACAGAGAATACTGTTCTTCATGCCTTATAGCATATGTATCACAAAATTGCTGTGTTGGCAATTTTTTTTTATTTTAACATAAAAGATGTGTTAACAAAAAAAACTGTATTGACAAAACATTGTATTTATAAACTAATCTATCTACAGAAACGCTGTATTAAAAAAAAACTAGAGGCTCATGGGCCTTAACAGTCACCTGAGTCCTACAGTATTAATTTTTGTTGTTGAAATACGAAGTGGAGATAATGATGTCAATCCTCCCTACCAAAATTTGAGTAAATAAAAGTTAAGTATAACTTTAAGTTAAGTTTGCCAGGACCATGAGTTGATCATTCCTACCAAGTTTCAGTGAAATTGGCCAAGTAGAACTTGACTTTAAGTTAGAAATAGTTTTTTTAAATGGCGGCTGTGACAGCCATATTGAATTTCTGATTGACCCAAAAAATATCAACACTTTGTCAAGAACATAAGTTGATCATTCCTACCAAGTTTCCGTTAATCGGCCAAGTTGAACTCGACTTTGAGTTTGAAATATGTTTTTCAAAATGGTGGCCGTGGCGGCCATATTGGATGTTTGATCAACCTGAAAAATAACAACACTTTGTCAGGACCATGATTTGATTTTTCCTACCAAGTTTCAGTTAAATCGGCCCAGTAGAACTCAAATTAAAGTTTGAAATAGTTTTTCAAAATGGCCGGCCCTGGTGGCCATATTGGATTTCTAATCAACCCCGAAAAATAACACTTTGTCAGGACCATGAGTTGATCATTCTTACCAAGTTTCAATTAAATATGCCCAGTTGAATTGACTAAGTTTGTAATGGTTTTTCAAAATGGCTACTGTGGCGGCCATATTTGATTTCTGATCGACCCGAAAAATAACAACACTTTGGCAGAACCACGAGTCAATCATTCCTACCAAGTTTCAGTTAAATCAGCCCAGTAGAACTGGACTTAAAGTTTGAAATAGTTTTTCAAAATGGTGGCCATGGTGGCCATATTGGATTTCTGATCGACACAAAAAATAACAACACCTTGTCAGAGAGTTGTCAGTAACATTCCCATGAAGTATCAATGAAATACCTTTGCCAGTATTTCAGCTAAGTTGAAAATGTAAAATGTTAACGGACGACGCACGACGGACGAAGACGGATATAGCAATATTAATAGGTCAGTGACCTAATTACTAAAATACTGTTTCACTTAGAAAAACTGTCTTAATAAAAATAATGTTTTAATAAAAATAATGTTTTCACAAAAATCTTTATTCACAAAAAACCTGTTTCTACAAAAAATGCATTTAAAAAAAGGCAACAGTTGTAACTAGACCAAGTTTATAAATGGGAGTAACTTAACATGGATTTTCAATTTTTATTTCAATCCAATTGTGTGGCAACTGTTATACAGGTGGTCTAGTGCTGGCTGTCTACACAATGTCCATCTGGCCTGAAATGACTGACCGATTGACCTTATGCCCTCCTGCTAGAACTCTGTTCGTGGTAATGGTGGTGTATCTGGTTGAGATATTTTTCTTCGTGTGGACAGTGGCCTACAACTTTGTCCCGGGCGGAGTTTACACACGAGAACACACTGACTACCTCATTCTGGCTGTGATGGCAGGCATCTTCCTCGGGCTGTTTGCAGGTCAGGGTTTATCTTTCAGAAGAAGACGCATTTAGTAGGGCTTTCTAAGAAGCATTTCATAATCCCTGTTTTTTTGCCTATAAAATTTTAAAAAAAAGTTCCTCTGTGCTTTCATTTATGTGTCCATTCATCAAGCTATCTGCCGTCAATCACGTTTTAAAAGGACATTAACCTAAGTAGCCAAATTTTTGAAGGGGAGACAACTTTACAAAATGGTAAACTAAATTTCCCTTTGGTGTTCTTATGGGTATTCTCCATAAAATATGGCTTCCTCTTGCACGCTTCATCTGGGCCAACAAGAGTGGTTATTGCGAGTTAAAAAACTTATTTTTTGTGTTATAATTTATGTTAAGATACACGATCATCATGGGCATAACTTGTTACATAGGTGGACAGAAGAATGTTCCGAGTCACACTGCACATGTTGAAATCAACAACAACAGCAACATGGCAAGTCGAACAACAAACGCTGATATCAACAACAACAGAACGCCGTCCAGAAAAGTACTGTTAGGTAAGAACTGGCACTGGACAAAAATAGCTTTTGTCGGGGTACTGAAAATTATTTCTCTTACATTTCACAGGTACTGTTCTGTTTTTGCTAGGGAAAACATCCACTTTTCTCTTCCAGTTGACTGAGATACCCACAGTTTTGGTCAGGGGGAAATATTTCTGTCTTACTTATAGGGTAAAGACAGGGGAATACCCCTGTCAGAACAATTATTTAAGTCACATCAACAATAGCTCTGATTTCCTGAAAATTATGCAATCAACATTTGCATTTCATGAAATTACCACTTGTATTTGAGGCAAAATAATTATTCCCCAACATAGAAGTAAGACAAAAAAAATCAATCCTCTGGGTAATAATCTTTAATGTCTTGCCCTCAACAAAGCCTCTGGCTAGACATTTAAGATGTTATCCCTTATGTTGAGAGTTTTCTGTTTTACCCCTAAGGTAGTCTATTAGTCTTTACCTACTCACATGCATTATTATCCTGAAAACATCATCACCGTTGCATCATCTATCAATGTAGTGTAACCAAATAGGCATCATCAATTTTATTGCACATATAATGAGCCGGTGATGATGAAACAGTGAGTGACGGAAGTCAATTTATTTAATATCTTTGTTTGTCTATTCCAGTGTTAATTATGGTAACATGTGCCGGTTTGTTAGGATTTGTCGCAAGAATTCCTTCCATGCCGTCCAATATAAAACAGAATCCAACAGACCCTGATAAGGTAAGCAGATCAATATGAAACGTTATGATTAACTTTAAGCTTACCTCATGGCCTGAAGGGCTAAGTAACTTTTAACTTAATTTTACAACAGCCTGTACCTTTATGAATTGAAAAAATGTAGCATTATTTATACTGAAATTGGGAACATATTCCTCATTTTTGGTCGTTTTGGGAAAATAAGGCACTTTTTATACGACTGTCAAATTTGACGAGAGGATTATGGTATGGCATTGTCCGTCCGTCTGCCCAGCGTAAACTTTTGATTGTCCAGCAATCTCCTCCTACATTTTTTGACCGATCTCTTTGAAACTTGGTATACATCATAATCATGATATGAAGTTGTGTCTCCTGTAAAAGAATTTTGATTCGACAATCCTTCCAAAAGTTATTGCCTTTTGTTCATTTCAGTATTTGATTTTTGTCCGGCAATCTCCTCCTACATTTTTCAATGGATCTCTTTGAAACTTAGTATACATTATAATCATGATGTGAAGTTGTGTCTCCCATAAAAGAATTTTGATTCAACAATTTTTCCAAAGGTTATTGCCCTTTGTTCATTTCAGTATTTGATTTTTGTCAGAAATCTCCTCCTACATTTTTCAACAGATCTCTTTGAAACTTAGTATATATTATAATCATGATATGAAGTTGTGTCTCCCTTAAAAGAATTTTGATTCGACAATTTTTCCTAACCTTATTGCCCTTTGTTTATTTCAGTATTTGATTTTTTGTCCGGAGATCTTCTCCTACATTTTTTGACAGATTTATTTAAAACTTAGTAGGCTAAATAATTATGATATGTTGTTGTGTTTCCCTGAAAAGAATTTTGATTCGACGATTTTTGCAAAGGTTATTGCCCTTTGTTCATTTTGGTATTTGATGTTTTAATCTGGAGATTATCTCCTACATTTTTATAGCATGTCAGCTAACCGCTCTTTGAATGATGCAGATCTTATTTCAATGTAAGAAAATATATAACGCTATATGGCATTCGACGGGCGTATATTGTTCCGCCCCTCGGTTCTCTTGTTAGCTAGGGGAAACAGACTGTATTCGGCTGTAAAACTGAGAAAACAAATGTCAATGTCTATTCTCTTCTTTCAGATGAAATAATCAGATTCTAGAAATATGAGAGTTTAGCAAATTCTTTGGTTGAAAATACTCAATTTTAGGGCCAAACTCAGGAATCTCCCTTTCATGGTCCATTGACTTTGTAAGCATCTCCATCAACATTAAGTTTTTGCGTTTAAGTTAGTTACTCTGATATGTGCATAGATGGTCAAAGCAGGACACACGGGAGACTTATCAATCAGAATGACATGTTTGAATCAATATAGCATTAGCTGCCTTATCAGAGTGGTCAGTTTAAAGATTAATAATCTTTCCACATCTATAAAAGAAAAGTTTCCATTTTTGTTCAGTTCAAAATTTTAAGTATGAGGTTACAAAGCTTTTTCAGAGATTGAAATGTGGGAGTTAAAATATGGACCATATATAATATTTTGTGTCAATGTATATGGTTTCTTTCACAACAGCCAAAAGTATTTTCCGCCATGATATGGACCTACCACTTTGGTTACGATAATAAAGGCTGGCCGAGTCTAGAGAGGTCAGCACAACTGATCAAAGACACAGGTGAGAATATTAACGAGCAATAGGTGTGTCATCCTCAATATCCAGGGGTTACGCCCACCTACCCTCTCTAGGTAGGTGAGCGTAGACCCTGGATATCGAGGACGTAGGTGAGCGTAGACCCTGGATATCGAGGACGTAGGTGTGTGTAGACCCTGGATATCGAGGACGTAGGTGAGCGTAGACCCTGGATGTCAAGGACGTAGGTGAGCGTAGACCCTGGATATCGAGGATGTAGGTGAGCGTAGACCCTGGATATCGAGGACGTAGGTGTGTGTAGACCCTGGATATCGAGGACGTAGGTGAGCGTAGACCCTGGATATCGAGGAAGTAGGTGTGTGGGCAGATATCTGTAGACAATCAAGAAAACAATTTGTCAGAGGCTTGAATCCTGGTTAATATATTTTCTAGGAAAACCTGTAGGTAGAAAACAAATCGTTTTATTTTATAGAATTATTTCGGTTTGTCCCATCTTTACTTTCAGAATTGTTCATGTGTTGTAATGGAGATTAGTACCAGTGTTCTCCCCAGAATGTTTTGAAAGAAGCATGGTATTTCAATATTTCTGTTAAAGCAGCACTCTATGTAAAATCAAAGCAGCATGGTAACTTGAGATTTACTATGAATATATATATGGCAGAGAAGATCTATGATAGCAGCATGGCAAGAAATTATAGGAGCATGGTGCTATGCTGCAAAAACAGCCTGGGGAGAACACTGAGTACTGCATGTTTTTACTGTTAAGATTTGTTATCAGGCCCTTGTATTTTTACATTTCCCTGTCATATTTGTATAATATAATTCCTGCCTCTTTTTTTCCAAAAAAAGTATTGCAAAAAAAATGTAAAAAAAATCTTCAAAATACTGTATTGAATTGTGAACTGCTACTATAGTTTAATCATTATTATTTGCTGTTCTTTGATAACCTTGAACTTTGGTTTTATGTTAAACGAACTTGTCCTTGTTAAATATAGTTTAAGTTCTGTGGCCTTGACCCTGTGCTGTAGGTGCTGATGTAGTGACCCTACTGGAGAGTGATGCCTCCAAACCTTTCCTTGGTAACAATGACCTTGGTCTCTGGCTGGGGGAGAGACTGGACATGCACGTGGACTTTGGACCTGCCACCAAAGATCACACATGGGGGTAAGTCCACATTTGGAGTGAACAAGAAGAGCTGACCATCCATTGGACACCATCTAATTCTCAGATATTCCCAGGGGGTACTTAAGCTACCTCAGACATAGGATTACCCGATAAGCCCAGAGGGTATTTTAGCTACCTCAGACATAGGATTACCCGATAAGCCCAGAGGGTATTTTAGCTACTTCAGACATAGGACTACCCGGCTAAATACACATCAAGGTGACAGAAATTCTTGCCTTCCACCAGCTGGCAACACCACACATCTAATTATCGAAAAGGACCAGTAAAATAATGGAGCTATGTCAGGAAACATTTGCTTTAGGATGGGCTTGAAACTCTAGTCTTTATCAGGAATGGCCAACATTTACCTGTCATAGATGGTCAGAGAATAGACTTTATCAGGAATGGCAAACATTTACCTGTCATAGATGGTCAGAGAATAGACTTTATCAGGAATGGCAAACATTTACCTGTCATAGATGGTCAGAGAATAGACTTTATCAGGAATGGCAAACATTTACCTGTCATAGATGGTCAGAGAATAGTCTTTATCAGGAATGGCAAACATTTACCTGTCATAGATGGTCAGAGAATAGTCTTTATCAGGAATGGCAAACATTTACCTGTCATAGATGGTCAGAGAATAGTCTTTATCAGGAATGGCAAACATTTACCTGTCATAGATGGTCAGAGAATAGTCTTTATCAGGAATGGCAAACATTTACCTGTCATAGATGGTCAGAGAATAGTCTTTATCAGGAATGGCAAACATTTACCTGTCATAGATGGTCAGAGAATAGTCTTTATCAGGAATGGCAAACATTTACCTGTCATAGATGGTCAGAGAATAGTCTTTATCAGGAATGGCAAACATTTACCTGTCATAGATGGTCAGAGAATAGTCTTTATCAGGAATGGCAAACATTTACCTGTCATAGATGGTCAGAGAATAGTCTTTATCAGGAATGGCAAACATTTACCTGTCATAGATGGTCAGAGAATAGTCTTTATCAGGAATGGCAAACATTTACCTGTCATAGATGGTCAGAGAATAGTCTTTATCAGGAATGGCAAACATTTACCTGTCATAGATGGTCAGAGAATAGTCTTTATCAGGAATGGCAAACATTTACCTGTCATAGATGGTCAGAGAATAGTCTTTATCAGGAATGGCAAACATTTACCTGTCATAGATGGTCAGAGAATAGTCTTTATCAGGAATGGCAAACATTTACCTGTCATAGATGGTCAGAGAATAGTCTTTATCAGGAATGGCAAACATTTACCTGTCATAGATGGTCAGAGAATAGTCTTTATCAGGAATGGCAAACATTTACCTGTCATAGATGGTCAGAGAATAGTCTTTATCAGGAATGGCAAACATTTACCTGTCATAGATGGTCAGAGAATAGTCTTTATCAGGAATGGCAAACATTTACCTGTCATAGATGGTCAGAGAATATTCCAGCAACTAATCCTAATCATCTTGTGGTAATAATTACAAATTTTTTGTTTGATTTCAGGAATTTGATTTTGTCCAAGTATCCAATCATCAAGTCTACACACCACCTTCTGCCTTCCCCGCACGGTAATTAGTGTTTGATTTTAGTTGGTACATTCTAAACAGCCCTTTATAACACAGTAAGCTCCTGCAGGACCAAACACTTAAAGGAGAAAACCTGTATTAAAATGACTGCTGTGTGCCAAAACAAGGATAAAAAAATAGCAAAGATAAAGAATGATTTGAAAATTGATTGCTCTCTTGGGCACCTGACCTGTAAGAGATACATTTTCTGTAAATTATCAAAAATACTTTTTGTCTTCTTAAAAATCCCTTTCCAAACTGCAAACAAAGTTTTTCGGAAAAAGTATCCTTTTCTGGTCTAGTATAATTCAAGATTATAAAGTTAGAAAAATCAAAAATTTCATCGTCAACTCTCACTTGTTAAATAATATATATATTCTGTACAGGAGAGTTAGCTCCAGCAGTGACCGCGAGTGTCAACATAAGTGGTCAGGCCGTCGACTTTGTGGTCACTCACATGGGCAATGACCGCGACATTCTGGACAGGAAGCTGCAGGCGAAGTTCCTGGCCAAAGAACTGGACAACAGGTAAGGACAAATTTACTTGGTTCTCAGGCCTGCGCGCATTTCAATTAGGGCACTGCATTGCTGATTTTATCGTGAAAGTAATAAAAAAAAAACGTGAATGCGCCAGCCACTATCTTTAAAAAAATCCGGAAAATTAGTCAACATGTCGTTTTTACTCGTTAGTCACCCAAGTCCCGAAAACTTTTGAATAAAGATAAGGAAATTGATATACAGGCAAGCATAAACGATTATGACTTTGTCTCGTGTACAAATGGCGCTCATTTCGTTACAAATAAGGACTGGAGGGGTTCGTGATTCTTGTCTGGAACATCGTGGGGGGATTTTCGGAGGCTTGCTCTATGACGGGTCTCTACACAACTATAAAATGACAAGGTAATGCTCACAATGAACGGTTTACAAACTACACAATAAAAAAAAACGCCCTCGTCTCATTTTTGCAATGTATAATGATAAAAAAAAATACCTCCCTGCCGCATCTCTTTTGAAAAAAAATGGCCTGAGAACCAAGTAATTAATTTTGTTTGGCCTAACTAACTTTACATCAGTACGTGGTCTAATTAACTTTACATCAGTAAGTGGTCTCATTAACTTTACATCAGAACGTGGTCTAATTAACTTTACATCAGTACGTGATCTAACTAACTTTACATCAGTACATGGTCTAATTAACTTTACATCAGTACGTGGTCTAACTAACTTTACATCAGTACATGGTCTAATTAACTTTACATCTGAACGTGGTCTAATTAACTTTACATCAGTACGTGGTCTAATTAACTTTACATCAGTAAGTGGTCTCATTAACTTTACATCAGCACGTGGTCTAATTAACTTTACATCAGTACGTGGTCTAACTAACTTTACATCAGTACGTGGTATAATTAACTTTACATCAGTACGTGGTCTAATTAACTTTACATCAGTACGTGGTCTAATTAACTTTACATCAGTACATGGTCTAACTAACTTTACATCAGTACATGGTCTAATTAACTTTATATCTGAACGTGGTCTAATTAACTTTACATCAATACATGATCTAACTAACTTTTCATCAGTACGTGGTCTAACTAACTTTACATCATTACATGGTCTAATTAACTTTACATCTGAACGTCGTCTAATTAACTTTACATCAATACATGATCTAACTAACTTTTCATCAGTACGTGGTCTAACTAACTTTACATCAGTACGTGGTCTAACTAACTTCACATCAGTACATGGTCTAATTAACTTTACATTTGAACGTGGTCTAATTAACTTTACATCAATACATGATCTAACTAACTTTACATCAGTACGTGGTCTAACTAACTTTACATCAGTACGTGGTCTAATTAACTTTACATCAGTACATGGTCTAATTAACTTTACATCAGAACATGGTCTAATTATCTTTGGATGCATTTTCACACTGCACAACCAATTTTGACATTATCTTGGTTTGTAACCCTGATTCCATTTGTGCACTGAGAGCCTAATTGATTGTCATACAAATTTTTTCTGTCGACACTTAGCCTGCTGGCCTCTCTGCAGATCAGATAGAGATGTCAATTTGTCAAATGACAGGCACATGTTCATAGGGAAAAAATCTTCTGTATTAGATTGTATGACCACATGGAGTGCTGATGTAGAAAATGTCTCCTGATATCACTTGAAGACATCGGCAGGAAACCTAGCCGTGAACTAAACTTTCCTATTTGGGAGTCCTGGGGATGGATAGCAGTTAACCTGGAATAACCAACTTGAAAAATTTCAACATCTGATATCAAAGCTTTTTCTGGCTCAATTTATTTTATTAATTTTTCCCCAGCCCAAACCCTGTAATATTTCTGGGTTACGTGACATCTGCCCCTGGTAGTCGAGACTACAAAAAGCTGCTGAAGAAAGGTCGGGTGAAGGACATTGACCAGACTGACCGGGACAGGTGGTGTGAGTACATTATGTACCGTGACCTTATAAGGTAAGTACAGAATATGAGGTCAAGGCCAGTCAAATTCATACTGAATGTGAATAAGTGGCCCAGAGAATAGTGCACTCGCCTTTCATTAAGACAGCTGGGGTTTAACTCCCTAATGGCACCTGAAAAGGTATTGGGTCACCTGCCCGACCATTATAAATTCCTGGTTAGCAACGTTAAATTAAAGTGTAGGATCCCCAGTAGGCCGATCCAGAGTTTGACTCAAGAAAGTTATGTTTTTTTGTTCTATTCTTATTTTTCAAAATACATGTATGTCTCTCAAAAATGAGTTTTTTCACTGTAAAGGGAGATAATTGGTCAATTTTGTAAATTTTGTTTGATTATTTTAGAGAGCTTTCACCTTTATTAAAGCCTTTTTTGTTGACAGTTTGTGAAAATAAATTTCTATAATAGCGTCAAGTTATCTCCCTTTACAGCCAAATTTTGTTTTTAAAAAACTGCAATTCTATAAGAGGCATTGCAGGACATTTTATTTGGAATATGCCTGTGCAAAATGACTTAAAATTAATATTTCATGATAGTGCCAGTCCTGATGGTACTTGACACCCTTTGTAGAATTCATTGTAGAACAGTGTTTTAGTTCCATCTTCTTTTGAACTGTAACATCAGTTTACAACTTCAGATTTCTTTAGATTTATAGAGACCTTGTAAGTTGTTGTATCTGATTTATCAATAAATTTGGTTGAAATGAGCAATGTTTTAATTTAATTAATTCATACAGTGTGTATGTCAATATGATGATACCCACTTTCGGAATTTTTACAGACTAGGGTATGCTAGGATCACCCATGGGGGCCTGAGCGACACCGAAGTTCAACTGGCAAAATTCCAGATTCCAGAAGATCAAAATGACTTCAAGGATAACACGAGAGTGGTCACGGATTCCAGTCGAGTCGACGGAATTCTTAAATTCAACACCAGGTATCTACAGCCTTAAGTGATAACATATTCATTTACCAAAGATAAAAAGGTGTTGTATTATGGCATCATGACAGTTGAGGCCCGGTTTACATGTCATGTTTTACCAGGGGATAAAACTGGAAGTAAAAGCCATTCTGATTCACAACAATTTCTAAAATATTTCAAACCAACCTTATAATGAAAACAGTTTTTAAATCTCCCACATGGGTATGTAGTAATCACTTTGTCCATGTGTCTGTCTGTGTAGCTGGTGTAAAATATATGAAATGAACACCTGAACATTTTAAGTTCAAATTTACACAATAACATTGAGTTCTACATCTAATTAGATTTTGGTGTTCATCAGTCAAGGTTAAAACTGATTAAAGACTAAAGACTATGTCTTATTATAAGCTATTTCCATATGGGTGGGTGGGGAGTGAGTAAGTTGGCGGGGAGAGGGGGGATTATATTCATGTGAGCCTTCGCTCAATTTGTTTTTATTTCTGTTTCAGATTTGGGTATTTTCATGCTGGTCATGGCTACTTTGATGGACACAGATTCCATATGAACACACCTAAGTATTTCTTGCCTTAACTTGGTGGCCTTACCTGTCCAATAACACCTGGATTTTCAGGTGTTAAATCAGAATATTGATCCAAAGACCGTCCGTACCTGTCACATACAACACACCTGGGAGAGGATTTCAGAAAGTCAGGAACCGTCCTCTGTGTCACAAATTATATACTTGCAGTTTTAGGTGTAAATCTGTAATGTTGATCTTTATAAATGCTGCCTTACCTAACAGATAAGACACAAACAGAGAAATATTTTTGAGCTGCAGATGTTTATTCTACAAAATGGAAAGTATTTATGTATACATCTGTACACTAGAAATATTGAATATGCAGTGTCACATTCCAATTGAATGCAAGTTTATTGTTTTCTTAGTCTTTTAAATGGATTTACGGGGGGGGGGGGGTATCGGATTATGTGTGTTTAGAAGACAGTGACAGTGATTCCTCATCGAGGCTTTCACTTCCTGTATAGGAGTTAACTCTAGCCTAAGCCTGAGGATCGACTCCATATGTCTTTCACTTTGGATGCAAGGAAGGAAAGAGCTAATCACTAATGTTTTCATAATGGTGTCACTTAAACACTTTTGTATTCGTTGTGATAACCTAGTCCTTATAAACTAAAATATGCAATTATATTTATGTGAAGATTTATGCACTAGTTAGGTACCAAATGGTTTATTTCGTATAAAACCCCCAAATTTTTATTAACACATTGCCAGCAGATTTTTATCTTTCCTTAAAATTTTATCAGAATTCTTAATCTGTGATCAGCCACAAAGAGCTGGGTTCATCTTTCAGATTTTTACAGCTTAAAAGCTATTTTTACATTTAATGTAGGTTTGGATTAAATTTTAAAGAAATATGTTATGGCCATGATTTTACATGATGTATGAATTAAGTCTGTGGTTTAGTATGTAATGTCTAAGATTTGACATGTAAAGTATATGGTTTTATTTGTTAAGTCCATGGTTAAGCATGCAATGTCCATGGTTTTGTATGTAATGTCAATGGTTTAACATGTGAAGTCAATGGTTTTGTATGTAAATTCCACGGTTTGACATGTGATGACCATGGTTTTGTATGTAAATTCCATGGTTTGACATGTGATGTCCATGGTTTTGTATGTAAATTCCACGGTTTGACATGTGATGTCCATGGTTTTGTATGTAATGTCAATGGTTTAACATGTGAAGTCAATGGTTTTGTATGTAAATTCCCGGTTTGACATGTGATGACCATGGTTTTGTATGTAAATTCCATGGTTTGACATGTGATGTCCATGGTTTTGTATGTAAATTCCACGGTTTGACATGTGATGTCCATGGTTTTATATGTAAATTCCACAGTTTGACATGTGATGTCCATGGTTTGGTTTGTAAATCATGGTTTCATATGTAATCTTCATGGTTTTGTATTCCATTCACCTACTTTTTACACTGAAAGTGTAATTGTGTTTAGACAATGGGCTGTTTTATGTTATTTTGAAAATATGTATTTCTTCAAGTCATAATAACACTGATTAAATAGAAGTCCAAAAAGTTGTTACCAGGAATTAGTTAATCATAATGGAGAGATAAACACTAAACAGCTAATAGAAGTATATTTTAATTTCATTGCTTTAATCTATGTACGTGTAAAAATAGACAAATGCAACTTTTGCCGCTGAAAATAAACTGTGATAGACCAGTGTTTTTGTAAACACTGATCACGTGCCTCTGGATACGGATGAAAACCTTGTCCATAAAATTGGTATTTAGGACCTCCAAAATGCATTAGGTTTCATTTTTTAACAATTTCTGTGCCTGTGGAATGATCTGCTTTGAGAAAAGATAATTCAAATCTGTAAAATACCAAAGACAAACAAAGTGCCAGGGGTTGGTTATCCTAGTTACATATGTGTGTTAGACAGTTTGTGTGTGATACAGTGTTTTGTAATACAGAGTTGTGAATGTGTGTCACATTGCGGTGTTGTTAATATATAACTACTATGCTTAATCTATTACTGTCTGATCATGATTTTTTTCAATTATTTTGATTACATGGACCAGTCTTCGTAGCTTATTGTAACTTTTTGTCTCGTTTTTGTATTCAGAGAAAATTAAAATATATGTATGTCTATCTCAAAAATGAGTTTTTTCACTGTAAAGGGAGATAACTGGTCAATTTTGTAAATTTTGTTTGATTATTTAAAAGAGCTTACACCTTTAAGCCTTTTTTGTTGACAGTTTGTGAAAATAAATTTCTATAATAGTGTCAGGTTATCTCCCTTTACAGCCAAACTTTGTTTTAATTTTAATGTGTTTAAAAAAATAGAATGTTATACTTCATACTAAATGTTATAAATATTGGTCCATTTTGTCCAAAATAATCACAAAATAACATATCAGATGGAGATTAACCCTACAGTTAATGATTAACTGGGTATTGATGTTAATGAATAAGATAATTTATATATACATATCACTGGGGAGGTTCTACAAGAAACTCTTGTCATTTGTGTTTTATACATATCAATATATATACAAGAGATATTTGACATATCCAGCTAATTTTTAGATAAATACCATATCACCTGTCTAAACTGAACCCTCTCTTATCTAGGGTATCTGGCTAAGACAGGTTTCTCTTTTGCTTCTTGTAATATTCCTGTCTTGCTTGAAGAAATTGTGCCTTGGTGATAAAGGCATTTATATGTCGGTAAGTTGTACATTAGAAATAAGATTTATGCAGGTTAATATTTTCTATACATTTTCTTGTTATATATATATATAAAATACAATGTGAATAGATTGTTTTTAATACATTGTATAATAAGTAATACATGTTGGGTGAAGGTTCGGATGTTTTATGAATTTTAATTCGAAGTACTTTGTTATTATATATAACCTTGTTTTATCTTGATTATCCTTTTTAATTTATGCACTTATGACTTCACATGATGATGGGGTTGTTTTTACATTGGTAAAGAAAATACAAATCCATGCAGTATCTTATTTGCAATTTGCAATTATTTAGTCTAGTGTTATTTGCAAAGAAAGGTAAGGTAGATACTCCTAGTACACTGTTTTGTATTGCCAACAGTGAACAGTTCTAATTTGTTCTGCAATTTGCTAACTTCAGATTTGTTTAAAATAAATAGAATTTAATTTCCTATTTTTCTGTGATGATTCATTTACTGGACCTCAGAATTATAAATCTGGGAGTTTATATGCTACTGAGCATCCTGTTGTATTTGTCAATACCTGACAGCAATATTACTGGAAAAAAATCTAAATATTCCTATTCCCTAAAAAGATCAACAACCTATGACTGATTTTGTCAAAGTTTAAAAGAAATAATGACTAATTTAACAGAAAAGTAACTTTACAGTAGAGTAGTGATGGGACTCTCTTTGTAATTGTCATAATAAATATTCACATTTCACGGTTACCTGACCTGAAAATATACAAACGTGTTCACACTATACAGTATTTAACAAGAAAAACTGATAAAAAGTCGTTACTGTACAGGTGGAAATTCTTGCCTGTGGAAATGTTTGTGTAATGAACCACTGAACTGATTGTGGTGTCGGAATTGTCGCTGTTCAGAACAATGGTTCTGAAATCTATACAGTAAAACCTTGTTAAACTGCCACCATTTGTTTTGAGAAACTTTGGCATTATAAAGGGGTTTCACAACAAGTTGAGAAAAATGAAAAAAGAAATTCTTAACAAAATTAGAGAATTGGACATTAAATGTTTTGGCGGTAAAGGAGGTGGTAAATGTACTAAGAGGCATTATGTCAAGGTTTTACTGTATGTTTCCACATTTCGGAAATTTCCTCTTTTACAGTATGTAAATAGCATAGTGCCGACATCAAAACTTTCACTGCCTCTCCTGTCGCGTCCATACATACAGGATGAACTAGTTATCCTGATTTTTTTAATGAATATATTAAATTTCAGAATTCATTGTCATTTGAATTTATAATTTCAAATTTTTAAGCGAAAACTTCTTGACAATTAAGTAGTACTTTGTATGTAGAAGGGTGGGTAGAGTAAAAATGTCTACCTGATATATAAATGAAATTCATTTTTTTTTATTTTTTTTACCCCGAAATGTTTTAAATTATTTTCACCTTGTTATTAAGCTATAACCAAGTTGATCTTCTGTAGTTATAAATTAAATGAATGTTTGATGACATCGTTTCATGTTTTTTGGGTTTATTAGAAATTAGTTAAAATAAAAAATCAATTTACTGTTTTGATTTTTTTGGAAAGAATAATTTGTTTTAATTTAGTGAAGTATTGGGAATCATTCATTAAATAAAGAGTTATTTTTCACTTTAGTGAGAATCATCATAAATGAAAATATGCGCTAGTGAAAAGAGCACAGATTTAAATAAGTGAAAATACAGAATGAAAAAAATATGAGTATAATAACCAATCAGAAAGATTGAAGAATATGTGTTAACCAATCAGAAAGATTGCAGTATGTGTTCAGAATTGTCCTGGGTTGGTACATCAGAACACTGATGTCATAAAGGCATATTCCACTGAACAATGTAAGGAGATTTTGACATTCTAAACCCTCACACTTTTCAATACAGGGTTGTTTTCATTGATTTAGAGAAGTAAAAATATAATTGACAGAATGGTTCTGTACTTAATAACCATTGTGAATCTTAAGTATGGCAGAACACTTCAATATTTTTAGGAGTGTCACAGAAAAATAGAAAATTAAGAAGTTATCATATGCCACACTTGTGCAATAGAAATGATTTTCAACAGGAAACCATTACATATTATCGTCAATGATTAATTATTGTGAGGAGTTGACAAATTATTTGAATTTTATTTTCACATGTTGCCAAACTTCATTGAAGTAGTATAGCATATATGAGGCATTTAAATACATTCCATTGTATTTTGAAGAAAAACAACTTGCCAATTTTTTTGCCGCTTGAAAACATCGTTATATAATGAGTTTGAGTATCACACTTCAGCATTTCCTTATACCAAGGTACATGTGTATATATACCTTGTGTATTGTTTTATGAGAAAATCATGGTTCATTATTAGTATATTCAATATATGCATTTCTTAGCATTCAAATTATTCTTAATACAAAATACAATTACTTTTTAATCATTCCTTTGTTTGAAAATTTTATATATGGTCACTCCAACTGTTAGCTTTTTACATTCCATTGTAAAAATATCCATGTGTTGTTTTTGTTAAAAAATGAGAAAAAAGTGTTTTTGTTATTAATGTAGATACTATACATATGNGGGGGGGGGGGGGGGGGGGGGGCTTAGATGTTGTAATTAACAATTTGTTGATTTTGAATTTACAAAATCAGCGCCAAAAATGAACAGGCAAAACATATTTACACAAAATGAAATATATTTAACCGCATCATCATATATTGCTGTTACAAATTTTGAAAACCTTGAACAATGAGAAGTGTCAAATGGGAAAATTTCTCCTCAAATCTATGCTTTTACAGTGTTGTCAATAGGTGTACTGCCAAAATCACGAATGCCCAATAACTCTTGAACTAAATAAACGAAGGTTACATTTCATTGTAATTTTATTGCGTTCTGAGACAAAAGTTTGTTCTGGTGTCAAAGTGATAATTTATGTGATAAAATGCAATTACAATGTTTGTTTGTGTAATAGTTATTACTCATTACTAGAAAACATGTTTTGACAAATTTTATTGCTCAGTAGGGGTAAACATATGATGCCCTTAATTGCTGCTCTTAACATAAAAGTGTCCTGGGTGTTTAGCAGTTTGGAAAATTAAGATGAATGCAGACGATTCCCAAATCAAAAAAACAAAACAATATAGTAGACATTGTTTGAAAGGTTAGTTAGTTAATTATGGTGAAAGGATAGAGCACTAGGATTAGAAAAGGACAGATGGCTCTTAAAAGATCAAGGTACATTGTACCATACATGCCAAATCTCACGTCGTGAGGCAAAATCTCACAGATTTTCACCTCCGATAAAGTCTCGTGGTGTGGGACATGTATGTTGTACATATACCAGTGTAAAAATCAATTTACCTACACTGTAGAATGTCTATATGTAAACAGTAAAACCTCGATATAATGCCCTTTGTTGTTTTTTCCACTTTGTTTACTGTCGACAAATTTTAAAATCCCCCCCCCCCCCCCCCCCC